CACAGCTAGAGAAAAGCTTGTGCAGACCGAAGGCCCAGCACAGCCAAAATAATAAATAAAATTAAGAAAAAACAAACCTAGTCATACACTATTCAAAAGAATCATTGCTAAAGCATTAAAAAAAAAAAAAAGTGTTAGAGGTGGGTGGAGAGAGGAAAGGATGGAAAAATACCAGATATCTAACTAACCAAGGACAAAGCGGTGTGTCTATCTTAAGATTTATCCAAACAGATTTGAAACAAAAAGTATCAGTAGGGACAGAGACAATCACAGGTGTGGTTAAATGTGAGAAGATATGCTACTTCTAAACGCTACACTTTTAATTTAAAAGTACATCATCTGTAAGAAATAAATTTGATAGACCTCCAGGAGAAAATTGACAAGTAAACTATCATAAGAGTTCAAACAATGATAGTTCAGGAAGACCTATTAGTAAAGATTTGGATTTAAACAATACAATGAACACACACTGGCCTATTGACCTTAGTTGGAATTTATGAAATGAAAATATGTATTTTTCTTAAGCATATAGGGAACTATTCACAGAAATTCTTCACATAACCAGGTCACAGATAAAGTCTCAACAAAGTTAAAAAGTAGGTGTCATCAAAACAATGTACTCTGACAAAACTCAATTTAGTTAGAATTTAAGGATGGAAAGATGTTTTAAAATTCCCATACATTTGGATTTTTTTTGTATTAAAATTTTTTTTGATTTATTTATTTGGCTGCACTGGGTCCTAGCTGCAGCATGTAGGATCTAATTCCCTGACCAAGGATCAAACCTGGGCCCCCTTCATTGGGAGCTCAGAGTCTTAGCCACTGGACCACCAGGGAAGTCCCCTACATTTGAATTCTTTAAAATCCCCAATAATTTAAGATTCCAAAAGAAATCACAATAGGGTTTTAGCAATGTTTAGAACTGAAGGATACTAAAATAACACATTTCAAAATGTGTGAGGTGAAATTAAAGTGGTGTTTTGAGAGAAATTTATCCATAAACATTTTTATAGTGAAAGAAGAGTGCTATATATTAATAAGCTAAGTTGTTGTTGCTTAGTTGCTAAGTCCTATCTGACAAACTCTTTCGCCAGAGTTCAATGGAGTACAGCCATACCAGACTCCTCTGTCACATGGGATTTCCTGGGCAAGAATACTGGAGTGGGGTTCCATTTCCTTCTCCAGGGGATCTTCCCAACCCAGGGATCAAACCCGGGTCTCCCGCATCGCAGGCAGATTCTTTACCACCTGTGTCACCAGGGAAGCTCCCAAAGGGGAATTAATCCTAATTAAACAGTATGCAATTAAGAGAATACTACTCATAACCTTTTGTCAACAAATTATAAAACTTAGATGAAATGAACAAACTGTTATCTCACTAATGGACACACAAAATGACTGAGTTAGAAAAACCACATATAAAGACAAGGGCAGACCCAGGTGGGTTATACAAGTGATGCTTACTAATCATTCAAGAAACAGATCATTTCAATTTTATACACTCTCTTTCAGATAATATTAATAGAAAAAAATGGGAAGATTCTACAATTCCTTAATATTATCTTGGTACCCAAACAAGGAAACAACAAGAGGAGAAAGGAAGACAGAAGTCCATTTTACTCTTGCATACAGACGCAAAAGTGCTCAACAAAACATTAGCCCCTGCTCAATGGTCGTATCAAATACTGTTCAGTTAGAACAAGCTACTGTGCAGGATCTGCACATCTAGGTGGGGAGATGCAGATGGGATGGGGAGGGAGGTGGGAGGGGGGTTCAGGATGGGGAACACATGTAAATCCATGGCTGATTCATGTCAATGTATGGCAAAAACCACTACAATATTGTAAAGTAATTAGCCTCCAACTAATAAAAATAAATGAAAAAGAAACATTAGCAAACTGAATCTACTAGAGTTTTAGAAAAAGAAAAAAAACACTCACTGTGAACAATTTCATCTTTTCTCAGGAATGCTAGTTTCAAAATAAGAAAATGTTGAACTGTTTTTCTCACCACTGGAAACGGATTATGGGGAAAATCATATCAGTAGATGTATCTGAAAAGTTCAACTGAGATTTATGATATAAACTTAAAGTTATTTAGTGATAGAAAAGAACTTCCTTACCCTGATGAAGACTGTCTATACAAGCCATGACAGTTAAAAGCAAGAATATCACAAATTTTTCAGATGGTAACTTTATCTCTGAAAAAGGAGGGTTACAAGTAAGATATAAGAATTTTCTAGCTACCCAAGCAACAAGATTCTAAATGACACTCAAGACCAATTTGAGATTTTTTTAAATTACAAAATAAACCCTCACACTTACAAATCTTTTTTCTCATTCTGCATACAGCAATGAGCAGTCAGAAAATGCATGTATAGTAGTAACAATAACTAGTATTTAGGAAGAAAAAAAATAGCAAAAGGTGACCAAGATCTGTGTGAAGGAATTCTCCATCTTTCTTGAAAACATTTTTTAAAAAGACTTAAATGAATAGAGATAATCTGTCCTCTTGGATTAGAAGACTTGAATTCACAAACAAATACACTCTTCCTGGATTGACCTATAGGTTCAATGCAATTCCAATCAAAATTCCAACAGGAGTATTTTGGGAAACTTGACATACTGATTTTAACATTTAAATAGAATGGCAGAGGTCCAGGAATAGTCAAGACAACTTTGAAAGAAGGTTCAGGAAAAGGCCTTGCTCTATCAGATACCAGGACTTATTTTTGAGCCTATAGACTCTGTTGAATGTAGACACAGTTCTGACTCAAGGACAAGAAAATTGATCATTGGAATAGGAGAGGTCACAGAAAGAGGACCACCCACATGTGGAATTTTGATGAACGGCAGATCCACAGGGGAGGAAGTGAAGGACTATTTTGCAAAAAAAGAAGGAACATATATAGGTTAACATTGTACACCACACAGAAAAATCAACTTCCTGTAGATGAAGTCTTTAAATGTCAAAAGGAAAACAGAAAACTTTTAGTAGAAACTATCCTTGAATATCTTTCTACATCTTAAGATGGGAAACAATTTCTTTAACCCCAAAGTTCTTATTACAATTAAGAACTTATCATCATCAAACGTCACCTTTAAAAAGGTAAAGTACAAGATACTCACTGGGAGAAGATATTTACAATGTACTTAATCTTTTAAAAGCTCTCAAAAGTGTATAAAGCTCTCAAACAAATTTAATAAGAAAAAGTCAAACATTCAGTAGGAAAATGGGCTGTCAATGGGACCAGGCATTTTATAGAAAAGATGTTCATATGCCACTGAAGCTGTTGAGAGATTTTCATCTTCATTGGTAACTAAGGAAATGCAAATCAACACCATAGTGAGAATGTGAGATGACCGGGAAAAAAAAATTGAGAAAACCAAGTGTTGCAGAGATTGTAGATTAAGAGAATCTGATAGGCATAGATGACAGTATGAGTGAACACAGTTGCTTTGGAAAATATTTGTCATGATCTTCTAAAAAGGAACTTTAGAGACCCTATGACCTAGTAATTAAATTCCTAAGTAACGCTAAAGGAAAACTCTCACATGTGAATACAAAGAGACACAAATAAGGAATGTCTGTAATTGCAAGACCAGGAAACAACTCCAGTGTCCATCAGTAGGAGCTTGGATAATAGACATAATCATAAAACGCATCATTATACAATGGGAAACTGCAACTTTGTGCAAAAACATGAATGAGTCTTTGCTATGTAAGACTGTATCTACAAAGCAAGTCCAAGGAGAGTACCTGGCACGTGGCACCCTTTGTAGGTTCAGAAGCAATTAAACTAAAGAGTGTATATTTTGGGTAAACATGTATGTGGTAAAACCAGCAACAAAAGGTTCAGAGCAGTGGTTACTGGGGGCAGGTCAGAGCAGAAGGTAGATGAAAGTTATCATCAGTGTTTTAAGTCTCAGGTTGGGTGGCAGGTTTACACGTGTTTATCATATCATGTGTAACGATAAGTAAGTAAAAGTGAATACTGCTTGTTCCATTGATACTAGCTCAGTGATGAACAAGGCATTTTGGATAAATCCATTTAGGGCAACACACGCCCAGTTTTAAAAAAGGGAACAGGGGTCTTGCTGGACAGGGATGGGAGTGAGAGAAAAAATTACCGCCCTCGTTCTCAAGGACTTTACAAATACGATGAGAAGGTGGAGACAGGTCAACGCAGTGACGTTCTGTGATGTTGTGTCGGGGATGGACACAGGACTCAGTGGGTGGAGAGAAGGAAGGGATGGACCCTGACAGGAAGGGAGAAGACAAAGGTTCCCAGAGTAAGAGATGTTGACCTTGCAGCTGGCAGGAGGCAGCGAGGTGGATGGTTGAACTGGGAAAGGGAGGGCAGCTCAGGTAATGAAGGGAAAGTTGCTCAGTCGTGTCCGACTCTTTGCAGCCCCATAGACTGAGTACTGGAGTGGGTAGCCATTCTCTTCTCCAGGAGATCTTCCCAACCCAGGGATCGAATCCAGGTTTCCCGCATTGCAGGTGGATTCTTTACCATCTGAGCTACCAAGGAAGCCTAGTTCAGGTAGAAGGAACTGTATAATTCAAAGGCTCCAAATCATAGGGGAATGGATCTCTCCGGACACAGGGAGAAGGCCAGTGTAGCTGGACCCTAGGGCAGGACCAGTGGCTGGAGCAGCCGTCAGGGGAGACCCCAGGAAAGACATCATGTATCAGACCAACGATTATGACTTGATTCTCTAAGTAGTGGGAGCAAGCAAGAGCTTTGAGACTCCAGAATGGCTGGAAAGTACTGGTTTGGGGGGAGGTAGTTCTAGCAGCCTGTATCCAGTAAAGAAGTGAATAGGCTCAGTGGTCAGCAGAGGGAGATGAAGCGGAAGAACAGAAGGGAAGCCAGCTCCCAGGTGTCTGCCTGGGGGAGCAGGCAGGAGCAGGAACTACCAACAGACTTAGCCTGAATCTGCCGAATGGACATGCCTGGGGCCCCCACGGCCGGAGAAGACGCCCGCATCACTCACCCAGGCGACGGTACCCATGACCGGGTCTTCATCATCCACATCTTCTGGTCTCGTGGCTGCCTGCTTTCTGCGGGCTTTCACTCTAAGAGAAGAAACCAGTGCATTGCAGTCAGGGCGGCTCAGACAAAGGTGGGCAAGCTGCCCCCCACCGCCCCCAGTACGACGGCTCGGGCACCCAGACCCTGAAACACCTTCAGAGGCCTTCCTGACGCGGAAGTAAGCGCTTTATCTTCTTGGATGACCAGGACTGTGGCCAAGACTGAATTTCCATCACTAGAGACTCGACTTACAAACTTGTCCATGAATGTCATTATTATTGACACATGGTGGCCAAGACGTGGAAACAATCCAAATGTCCATCAATGGATGAATGGATGAGTAGCATGTGCTCCACTCATCCAAGGGAGCATTTTTTGGAGATAAAAAAGAATGAAGGAGACGTCCCTGGTGGTGCAGGGGATGAGAATTCCCCTGCCAATGCAAAGGACACAGGTTCGATCCCTGGTCTGGGAAGATTCCATGTGGCTCTGAGCACCTAAGCCGGTGGGTCACAGCTATTGAGCCTGCGCTCTAGAGCCCTCGAGCTGCAATTCTGGAAGCCCGCACACCTTAGAGCCTGTGCTCTGCAATAAGAGAAGCCAGGGCAGTGAGAAGTCTGTTTACCGCAACCAAGACCCAGCACGGCCAAAAATTAATGAAATATTTTTTTTAAAAAAAGGAGTGAAGGACTGCCATGCATGAACCTTGAAAACATCATGCAAAGTGAGAGAAGTCGGTCACATGGGACCACACATTTTATGATTGCGCTTACTTGAAATGTCCAAACCAGACAACTCTAGAGAGACGGGAAACAGCCTAGGGCAGAGGGTGGAGCGGAGAGGATGACCAGGGGTGTGGATTCCCTTTTGGTTTCCCTTTCATTTGGGGCTAATGCAAAAATTCTGTCAAAATCATTGTCATAGACATGCAGCTCTGAATAGACTAAAAACCAATGAACTGTACACTTTAATGCATGGGAATTACATCTCGCTCAGGCTGTAACCCCCCTCTGAATCCAGTCTGCGCTTCTCTGCATTTCTGGGATTAAGGGACCGCTTTCCACACTCCCTACCACACCCCTCCGTATACGTCCCCAGAACACAGACTTACATGAAAAACAAAAGGAGACACAAGCACGTGGACAGCAGGGCCCCTGCACCAGCGCCTCCAAGAGCCCCAAGAGCCAGGAATGCATGTCTCCCTGGGGGGAAGACGGCCAGGAGATGATCGCGCTCCCAAGATTCAGGCTCTTGCCCTCCCGTCTCCTTGCAGAACTTTCTGGAGAGCCTCTTCAGGCCTGAGAGGGAGCCCCCTGTCCTAGCAAGCACACTCTGTCCCAACTCCAGCCCCTCTCCCCCCAGGCATCATCTTCTAGGATCATAACTCCTGCTCCTGCCCCTCTAAGCCTCTCCCCCCGACAGACCCCTGACCTGGCAGCAGCAGGACAGACCCGCTCCGGACCCCATAGACGTTCAGGGCCTCGCAGCTGAGGCTGAGGCCGGAGCTGAGCCCCTCGCGGAGGCTCAGGGAGCCATTGGTCCAGGGCCCGGCGGAGCTGGAGCTGACCTCGAAGGAGGTGTTGCTGAAGTTCCCCTCCAGCAGCCCCTCGCCCAGCCGCCAGCGCAGGGAGGGGGCCGGCCGGGCTTGGGAGGAGCAGCTGCAGCGCAGACCCTCGCCCTCCTGGGAGCAGGAGGGGCCCAGCAGCTGCGGGGGAGCTGTGGGGAGACATGGGAGGGATCAGGGGTGCCTCTCCCCTCCCTGGAACCCCGGCATCCTGTCCCCAGGGGCCCCCACACTCACAGACCATGATGAGGCTCAGGGAGGTATTTTGGGAGCCCAGCCGGTTATAAGCCTGGCAGGTGAACTCTGTCTCTGCACTTCCTAAATATGGCAGCGCCAGGACCCCGGTGCTGGAGATGGGGGCGGCCTCCAGGGCTGGGGACCTCTGGAACCAGCTCAGCTGTGCAGGGGGGTTGCTGTCAGCGACACACAGCAGCTGCATCGGCTGGCTCTCTGAGACGAGAAGGGACGAGGTGGCCTGCAGAATCTTCAGGGCTTTGGGGAAAGCGCAGCGGGAGAGCTGGGGGAGGCTGAGGTCTCCTCCTTCCTCCTTCCCAGGATCTCCTGGCCTCACTCTCTCCTCCCCTGACCAGCCAGCTGGGTTCCCTGTGGTCCCAGGGCTGAACCTTCCCACCCTAAGCAGGCTGAGCCAACATGTCTGGGCCTCCTATCTTCAGGGGAGGCTTGGTGTATCAATGAGACAGGCCTGGGCTGTTTGGTGGAAAGAAAACCCAGAGCCTCAAGGCTTGAGAAGTTGATTCAGTGAAGGCAACAGGAGATGGGACTAAGGAGGCTTTTGTGGAAGAAAACCACATAATATAACCGTGGTGAAGGGAAATGGGCTTTGAACAGGGTGTGTGAGTGTGTAAATGTGTGGGGTGTATGTGTGTGTGCCTGTGTGTATGTGTGCATGAGTGCACATGTGTATGTCCATGTGTCTATGTGTGCGTGATGGGTGCCTGAGCTGTGGGTATATCTCTGTGTATATGTGTGAATGTGTGATGTGTATGTGCCTGTGTGTATGGGCGTTTCTGTGCGTGTCTCAGTGTATGTTCATGTGTATGTACTGTATGTGTGTGTGCCTGTGTGTATGGGCGTTTCTGTGCGTGTCTCAGTGTATGTTCATGTGTATGTACTGTATGTGTGTGTGCCTGTGTGTATGGGCGTTTCTGTGTGTGTCTCAGTGTATGTTCACATGCATGTACTGTATGTGTGTGTGTCTGTGTGTGTGAGTCTATGTGTGTATTGCATGTGTGTGTGGTCTAGTGCATGGGAGGTGGGGCGGGGTGGTGGTTGTCTCCTTGCCCTTCACACATCTGATCACACTCAAGCTCACCCCGCTGCCCCTTGGAGGCGGTCCCAGGGGCAGGACCCAGCCCTGGAGAGAGGTCCTGTCCTACCTGTGACGTTTCTGAAGGAGAGGCTGATGCGGACGTTCCTCGGAGCATCTGGGGCAGAAAGACACGGGCTCGCTGCAGAGGGAGGAGTGGGGTGCACACTGACCAGCACCCAGGAGGGAAACCAGGAAGGGGGTGGTGTCCTTCACGCCCCTCCCCACCTCAGCTCCCAGGGCTCAGACCCATGGAAGAGCAGGCTGGCCTTCCCTCTGCACACACACACACACACACACACTGCCCCCGGGGACCCCGCCGGCCCTCCACACTCACAGGAGACGTTGAGCCGCACGGTTGTCTCCAGGGTCACCTGTGCTTCCTGGAGTGTCACCCGACAGGTGAGGTTGGAGCCGTGGTCCTCGGGCCTGGGGGTGAGGGTGAGCTCCGAGGAGTGGAGGGTCCCTGGGTCCATCTCGTCAAGGGCGTCCCCCGCCCAGGAGAACAGGAAAGGGTGTCTCCCAGCACAGGCTACTGACAGGCTGCAGGTCAGCTGTGTGGGGCGGCCGGACTCCAGAGGCTCCACAAACTGGATGTCGGGTTTCTCTGTTGGGGCTAGGGGGAGACAGAGGCAGATGCATGGACGCAGGGGTATGGGCACCCAGAGGGCGACCCTCAGAGGGACCAGTGCCTCACGGCCACAGCTCAGCCCCGGTCCTGGGTCTCTCCTGAACCCTCAAACCCCAGAACCTGGAGCAGCAAGGGCTCCTATACACTGTTCCTGTTCTAACACAGGCGCCTCCACGTGCCAGGGTCCTCTCCTGGGCCCCCTGTCATACCTGTCACCTGCAAATTCAGCTTCTTATCAAGGTAACTATATTTCTCATGAGGTTCTCTCTCCACTCGCAAGTAGTAGGCTCCTGAGTCGCTCAGCCTGGCCTCTTTGATGCTCAGGGAGCAGTCCTTGCGCCTGGGGTCACCGACGAGGCGGAATCGGCCCCGCGTCTCTGGCTTCACTGGTTTATTTCCGTCGTTTGTGGCCACAGCATCATTGTGTGGCTTGTCTTCTTCCCGGAACCAGTAGATGGAGGGCTCAGCAGACCAATACCTCGAACTCCAGGGGTGGGAGAAGGAGCAGGACACGTGGACGTCCATGCACGCCTGCACCGTCACGGATTCCTGCACTCGGAGCTCGAACCCTGGAAGCTCCTGCAGGGACCCTGGGGGACACAGAGGCTCAGCGGCAGCTCCAGCACCACCCCCCCCCGGACGCGTGCCCCGCTCCCCCAGCCGTGACCCCGTCCCCCACCCCTCCCCCACTCACCCCCCCACAGCAGGGGCAGCAGCAGCAGGGGCACCATGTCGGCATCCGCCAGCACAGAGCCGCTTCAGGTCCCTCTGCTGGGGAGGGAAGCGCCCCGAATGTGGGGAGGGAACGAGGAAGCCCCAACAGGAAGCCAGAGGGTGACGGAGACAGAGCCGAGGGCAGGCACAGAAGGGGAACTTGGACGCCCCAGGCCGTGGAGGAGGGGCGGCCCTGGGAAAGCAGGAGGTCCCACCCCACACCCCATACCCCTCCCGCAGGGGGAGATCCTGAGGCCCCCAGAGGCCGAGAGGCTTCACCGCACGTGGCTCTGACATGCCCACCCGTCCAGTGATGCTCGGGCCACGGTGGGACCGCCCAGCGGCCGGCGCAACCAGGAAAGACAAACGGGGTCCAGCCCTAGTCCTCGGGTGGGACTGATCCTGCAACAGAGAAACGCTGGACTTTCTGGAAAAGAATATTGAAAAATTTCTCACAACCGTTCATACTTGGGCTGGAAGAGTCACACACGGTGGAGGGTGGAACCCAGGAAGGAAAGCTGAGTGTGAAAAGCTCCTTTGCCCAGAGGGGTTTCAGAACAGGGCACACGGGCTGAGGATCTTCATGGATCTGAGGGTCTGTGGGACCAGCCGACCGGGACACAGGCCCACGCCAAATGGGGTGGTAAAGGAAGAATTTTGCCCCATTCAGCTGGGACCCTGAAGTCTAGACCTCACACAGAAACACCGTTCACGACCCCTCACTCTGGATGGCCTTCTTTTCAAAGCCACATGAAGGCTTAAGTCATGTGTGGAAACAACCTGTGAACTTACTGCCCTTTCGGGAAAAAATTCTTTAAGTTTCGCAAGTTTGACTATGAGCGTAAACGTTTAGACACTTTCAGGGACAAGCTCTGGGACTGACGGAAAGTGTCTTTTATAGTTAGATAGAAATGTTAATGTATTGTTTACTTTCTTAAACTACAGAAACATAAATGTCCATCAATCAACCATGCCAGTCGAAATACTGTATCTTCTTTCTATTCTATTTTAGCTATAATATAATTAATCTTATTTCTTCATATAATGGGTTTCCCTGCTAGCTCAGATGGTAAAGAATCTGCCCTCAGTGCAGGAGACCAGGGTTCGATCCCTGGGTCAGGAGGATCCCCTGGAGAAGGGAATGGCAACACACTCCAGTATCCTTGCTTGGAGAATCCCATGAACAGAGGACCCTTGCAGGCTACAGTCTATGGGATTGGAAAAAGTCAGACAGGGCTGACTACCATTTTATTAGTATAACACTCATGCTAATTAATATACATGACTATTCTCCTAAAAAGAGGCAATCAAAGAGGATCAGGCCAAAAGTATGGGGAACAGGTGCTATGCAGGTGTGATACGGGTACCTGACTCCTGAGAAAAATGGTATGGTGGCCCAGTGCTTAGGACTCTGCACTCTCACTGCCTCTGGCCCAACTTCAATCCCTGGTCTGGGAACTAAGACCCCACAAGGCCTAGGTCATGGCTGAAAAAAAAAAAGGAAGAAAGAAAAATATTCTGCAATGAATGTCTTATCTTTTGGTTTTCAGCATTTTATGTTTTGTGATTGATTACATAGGTTTCTCATTTCGAAAGAAACTTGGATGTGATGTGCCTGTGATAATGAGACTTTTAGGAAATATATATTATATTTTCGGCCTTCATCCACAGTTCCTGGCTCACAGATTCATGGATTGTTGGAATTCTCTGACTGATAACAGACATGGCCGCTTCTGTGTTCACACATTTGCTCTTTGTTCTCAGGCCCTGGAAACACTTCAGGGCCACACCGGACCTGGGGGTCACATTGTGTATTTGGGGGCCATGTCTGTATTCAATGACACCATTGTTTTGCCGAAAGAGGGATCTGAACGCTTGAGTCAATGTCAGGCTCCACAGAACCCAGGCCCGGCCCTGCCCAGGGTCCAGGTGAACAAGCGGGGACGGGCTCTCCCCCTCGCTCCTCGGCTGTTGCGGGAACATTGCTGGACAAGCAGGCGCTGGAGAAGGCCGGGATCCGAGGGCCGTGCAGCACACCTCACAGCAGCCGGCGTCTAGCAAAGGCCAAGCTGGGACGGTCAAAGAACAAGAAACAAGCGTGTTGGTGAGGACGTGGGGTAAAGGGACGCTTAGGCACTGCTGGTGGGAATTGAATTGGTGCGGCCACTGTGGGAACGCTCTGCAGGTTCCTCAAAACTGAAATAGAACCTCAAGCACTTTCACTTCTGGGCCTTTAAGGAAAATGAAAACAGCAAATTTTTTTGTTCTTGGAGTGTTATGTACAGTAGCGAAGACATGGAAACAACTTCCATATCCAATGATGAGTGAATGAATAAAGAAACCGCGGTGTGTGCATACTCGTGATCATTCTTCAGCTATAAAAGAGAAAGAAATCCTGCTTTTACAATACATGGATGGTATGCCAGGGCATTAGGGTAATGAACTATGTTAGACAGAGGAAGAAAAATACTGTATGATCT